TAGAAATATCGAAAAAAATAAAAGAAGATATATAGAGTTATCTCGATATAAGTTAACTTATTAAAATAAAAAAAATTTAAAGTAATAGATTCTTAATAATTAAACGTCTTTTTTTTATATTAGCTTCGCTATAAAGATATTAACTATTTATAATAATACATTATAATTAAAAATAATAAAATATTAAGAGATTATTAAATTCTTATATTTATATAAACTAATTTAAGATCAATAAGATATATCTTTATAAACTTCGATTTAACGCGATAAGTACTTAAATTAATAATTTAGCTTTATAAGAGTATTTATAATTATTAAAAAGAGAGATTAAATCTTTATAAGTACGTAATAGATTATATAGAATCTTATTAAAATTATATATATCTTTCTAATTTTAATAATAAGCTCTTATTAGAGAAGTTATATAATCTCTTAAAATAGTATAATCTAATTATATTAATATTCTAATAAATTTTACTTTATTTTAGTAAAGATATAAGATCTTTTAGCTATAAATATATATTAGTAATTTTTTAATATTAAAAATATAATAGATTATTGATTAGCTAATTAGTCTTTATAGATATTTAAATAAATATTATTATAATATTATAAGTAGTTATTAATATAGCTATATCGCGTAATAAAGATTATAGCTAACTTATATATAAAGAATTTATATAATTTATTAATATATATATTATTATTATAATAGAGAATTAAGTAAGATTCTTATAACTAATATAACTATAGCTTTATCGCGTAATAAATAACCTTTATTTCTTTAAATTATATATCTTTAAAATAATAATATATAGCTATTTTAATATTAAAAATATTTTTAAGTTAAATCGATTAAATATAATTAAGATAATCGAGAATATAGTCTTTTATATCGAATTTTTTAAATATATTAATTTATATATATTATATAACTCGATTATCGATATAATATATTAAGATAATATTATTTTAATATTTTAAAAAGATATTTTATTATAGTAAGTCTATTCTTATATTATCTATAATTTATATAATTATTATAAATCTTTAAAGAGTATTAAAAAGTTATTTTAAGAATACTTTTTTTAAAATTATAACTTTAATAGTAAAAGAGAGAAAGTTAATCGTTAACTCGAGCTTCTAATATAAGATAATTACTTTTTTTAAAAGATTTTTAATTATAATTCTTATCTTAATTAGCTTATTTAAAAAAAGTCTTATCTATATATAAATACTATTAAATTTAATTTCTAAAAACTTAATTATAAAATCTATAATATTCTTTATATAATTAATTTAAAGATTTAATTTACTATATAGTTAATTAAATTACTAGATATATATAATTATATTATTATTTAATAAAAGAATTATAAAAAAATCGTTTAAGTAATAAAGTATTACTTTCTATAGAAGAATAGCGATTAAGATTTAAATAAAGAGTCTTTATAAAGAGATTAAATAGAAATAATAATATATATAATTTAAATAATAGATATTATTCTTTTTAATAGTGTTTATTATAATTAAAATTAAGTAGTTATTAATTCGATATAGCGACAAGTATATATCTAAAGATGTCTTTAAAATCTCTTTTAACGAATTAAGCTCTTAGATCTTTCTATAATAATATTACTACTATATTATTATATATAATATATTTTAATATATCTTACTTCGTTTAAATATCGTTATTAATTAAATAATTATATAGAAATAAGAGATTATAAATTTGTCTTTAATCTTTATTATATTTCGATATTAATTCGAGTAGCGAATAGACGTAATAAAGCTTATTTTAAGAATTAATCTCGATTAAACGATATTATTAAAGCTATTTTTAAAGATTTATTAATAATATTTAAGATACTTAATATATTAATAGATAATTTTAATTATAATAAACTAAGATATAGTCTTAAAAATCTATCTTAACGCCTTTTTAAAGAATAGTTAAAATAATCTTAGTAAATATTAGATTTAAATAATCGTTTAATTATTTAAATTAATTATTAACTATTAACGAATTCTTAATAAAGTAAATTTAAGATTTAATAGATTATATAGCGCGTATAAAAATCTCTTGAGATATATACTATAGTAATTATAATATCTATAAATATTCTAAAAATTATTCTAATCTAATAATATAATTATTTAATAATAATTAATTAAAACTATTTATAACTAAGTTTTAGATTTTAAAATACTTATCTAATAAATAATTTTATTAATAGATTATATAGATATATAAGTAGATATAGCGCTCGCGAAAATAAATACCTCTATTAAAACTCTTATAAATTTTAGTTTCTTTAATTTTAACATAGACTTATTAAGGTTAAGACGTATCGATATTTAACTTACTATTATTTATATAGAAGTTTTTTAAATATAAGAAGATTTCTATAACTCTAATTATTCGCTTTTTAGACTTTAAGATTATTTAAATTATTCTAAATATATATAGTAATAAAAGCGAGATAATAAGCGAGAATAAAGTTAAATTTATAGATAATAGATAGTTATAGTAAGCGAATAATATATATATAAAAGAGTCTTATTTAAGTCTTTCTTTACGCTTATATATATAAAGCGATTAGCGACTATTAAGTATATATAAAAGTAATATATTATATAATTATAGCTATTAACGTTCTTTATTCTTTTTAATTAAAGTAATATATATATAGATTAATCTAACGAAGTTTTTAATCTTAAAAATCTTAAAAGAAGATTTACTTAAAGTACTTAATATTTATACTTCGAAATCTTTTAGTAATATTAAGAAAAGGCTTCTTATCTTTAAAATAATAAAAGAAAATCTCTCTTCTTTTCTCTTAGTTCGACTTAAAGTTAGATAAATTTAAATTTAATATATTTAAATAATAATAATAATATTTATAATTATAATAATAGCGATAATAATAATATAACTTATAAATTTAATTCTTATAACATATAATAATAGCGATAATTTTACTTCTCTTAAATCTTAAATAGCTAGACTATTAATTTTATAAAGATTTACTTTAATAATAAATAAGAATATTTTCGTCGATCTTATTTAAGACTAATAATTCTCGATAGCGTTTTATATATAAGAATCTTATCGCGAGAAGAAGATATTTTAATCTTAATAGTCTTTTTAGTCTTAAGAATCTTATTAATCGCGTTAAAGATCTTTTTAATAATCTTAAAGACGAGATATAACTCGTTTAATCGCTTTTTTAAATTTAATAATAATAGCGAAAGTTATTATAAAGTATATAAGAGTATAGAATATATTTATAATAGTTAAATAAAGACTAAGCTGCAGAGTCTGCTGCTGATCGCTGTTCGAGATCTCCAACACCGGACCCGTGTAATGATGTCTCCCATACACAAGCCAAAATAGCATACTGATGATTATGACCCCGCCGTATACCAAAACACAATATTTCATATCCTGAATGTTCGGGTTCTTGGCAGTTGGCCACGTGGAGAAGAAAGCACCGAGCAGGAATACTATAGCTTCGATGGTGACTGGGACGCCGAAATGTCCAAGCCGAAGGGGGCCCCAGGGGATCTCGGATTCGGGGATCGAAGAGGAGTGCAACCCTCTATCCATAAAACTCTAGGGAATTAAGCTCAAGTACCAGGGTTAACTACCCAATGCTAATTACGGAAATGCAAAGCATTTGAGCGGATTTCGTAGTCATGACTACAACACCTTTTGGTGGATACGTGAGAGCCTTTGTCCCGTTATACATGGGGTCTACCATGCCTTGATAGGACTGGAAAATTCCAAAACAACCTTTGACACTTCTGGAACATTTTTGATGGGTGTCATTTCGAATACTGTCACCGCAAAATTATCATCCGGGCCTAAATTACCATTTTCAGCGGCTTGAACGCCCGACGTGCCAAACCAATAAAGTCGCAGATTGCTTCCGCTTACCCAAACCATGTGTCATCTTCACCTATAGACGGTATACCGGCTGCACAATCGCAAATGACCGTGAGAACAGTTGTACCCGCGTCACCCGGTGCATAGGCTGCAACCGCTCCCAGCCGCACAACAAGCTCGACCGCGCATGTGTCATCGTTTTTGATTAAGATCACCACCCCGAATCCGATATGGATCCTCTTCGGATCCAGTACAGCTTAAATACCGATCTAGAGATCCAACATCAGCCTGCCGTAGATGTCCCAGCGGAACTTGGGGCATTATGTTACAAGGTTCAAAATCAAGTTCGGTTTCTAAAGGTGGTACGAAAGTCCATGCCTGCAGGCAGCTTGAGCGGTTCGAATCGATATTTAGATTGTGCTATCACAGTTGTACCACGTTGGTGGTAAGGGAGGACGAAAGAGGAAGTGCTGGCCGAGGTCCCGCGGACGCGTTGAGTACGGGGACGAGCCTCTCATTCCAAGCTTCATTCACCAAATACAACGATAGACTGAGCAGAGACAACTTCATTGTCTCTTGATTGAGAGGACTGCGTGACGAAGAGGGTATGAGCGCATGGTGTGGGCCTGCTGGTGGAAGCTATGAGGTTGATGCCGAGACGGCAAGTATCTCAAAAGCCTACCCAACGATAAAATGGAATCTTCGTGGTATTGAGTTATGATCTGCTTTTAACGAGGTAATAGTTGCCCATGTTTTCAGAGTGAAGTGTCTCTACGGAAGTGCTATAATCTTATACAGCCAAGGTGAGGAGAAACAGTAGGAAACGGAGCGGATGCCAGCAGGATCGAGCGGCGAGAAGACCGAGGTTCGGGTGCACAAGTCAATAGAATTGCAAGTTCCTGCAGGCACTAGTAGTAATACAAACAAACTTGTGGTTTGGTTGCATCCACTAAGAGACCTTTCTTAAGGTTAAAACCCGAGGGAAACGACAGCAACAAGTGAAAAATAAGGATTTACGAGTAAATACAGCCAGTATTATGTCGATGACCTGCGGGCAGTACATGTTCAGACGATTTGTGCATGAGTAAATGGCAGATCGCAGCCGCTATCAGGTCATTGTGTAATTGAGGAAGGAGCGAACCAGGCCACAAATCGTGCTCGAGCCTGGTCTAGCGCCCAATCGCCTGCGTTGCGAGGGGTGGTTGGCCCACGAGGGATGATTGGTAACCCACGGGGGTACAGGAGCGTCCCTGTAGCTGTCGCTACCTTGCCGGTTGAATGCGTAAGAATACGTTCTGGCCGGCTCAAAATCACCCCAGTCCCTGACCCTTCCGTTACTGCTGCTTGCATAGGAAGATCCATGATCATAGTCTCTTGCGTATGTGCCTCTCGAGGGGTCACCGTATCGAGGAGGCTCCGGAGAGCCCCAATACCTGTTACCGCGATCATAACCGCTCATATACGAATGTCTTCTGCGGCTGCCATGTGAAGAAGGCTCTAGATCGTCCTCATAACCGTCACCGAGATCAAATTCGTTCGCGTACGAGTGTCTTCGGCGACCGCGGGGTGGGGGAGGCGCCGGATCGTCCTCATACTCGTCACCACGATCATCGTCGTTCGCGTATGTGTTTCGTCGGCGGCTGCGGTGTGGTTGAGGCTCAGGGAAATCCCATTCCCAGTCTCGGCCGTCATATTCGTCTGCGTACGAACCTCTCGAAGACTGCCTGTCTCGTGGAGGACGGTCGTCCTCATGTCCCTCACCGCGACTTGGAGCTATATAACGATTCTGGTTAGCGATAGCAACAGGACCACAAGAGTGGAAAAAGAAAGATAGAAGACACTCACGAAGTTCATCCGGCCCAAATCGTCTGGGATAAAAGGTGTTGTTTCCATCGGTGTCTGTCACAACAGACCAGGCTTGCGAGCTAATGCATGCGTCATCAGTATCTATTGAAGCCAAAGTTGATAGTAGTACAAGTACGAGGGTAAGGACGGTGTGGTTCTGTACTTGAGACTACGCCCCAACGCTTGACGAATGATTTCGACGTCTTGAATGGTAATATCGTTATCACTATACTTGACCATGAACAGCCGTCTACCAGCCAACTCAGGGAATTGGTCTTCGGAACACTCTAGCACATCCACTCGACTCTGGTGTAAGCGCTCCGCTTCTCTGCCAACGGTGAGAACACTTGTCCCGCTATTTTACGATTAGCATCTGACCTGGAGCTCAGCTTTTGGGGTCCTACCCGACAAGGAAAAGAACTTCCCCCATGATAATCGATTTGTTTTTGGAAGTCTCATGACAGCCAGGTTTTTTCCGTGAACGGAGAGAAGGAAGGAAAGAAAGTAAGTAGAGCAGCAGAAAATAGCTTCACATCTACTTCGTACCATCCCGAATCTGGACGAGCATACATCAAAGCTGCGTGATTGTGTTAAGGCTATGCGTTCGCCAGAGGCCACGCAGATACAACCGATAAACTCCGAGAGTCGCACAGTTAGTAGCAAAGGAAAACATGGTCATAGTGTTATTCTATTTGTCAAACAAAGTGTTTAGGTTCTGGCGAGTAAAGTCAAAAGTGTTAAATAAAAAACGGAGTACCGAGCACACAGGTGGCTGGAGTGTCTGACACCTGACAGTGAGTGTCTCCTGTTATCAATGGCAATGAGTAAGAAGCAAGGATGTGACGCTCGGATAACAAGCGCCAAGAAGGACCTTAAATTTCTGAAGGCAGTGAAGCGTCGGAGCTGAAGTGAACCAGACCACCGAGAGAGAGAGCAAGCAGGGAGGATGACGATACGAGGCTCGAGTGCTGATAACCAGAGAAGCTCTGAGGTCGTGCACTTCGCAAAGGTTGTAAAGCTTTGCGCCATTCTTCGACTCTTACCCCTTAATGATATCATGATTTTGGACAACCTATTGTGCTACAGGCTCTGCAAAGGGTCAAGTCAGCAGGGTGTGGGGACAAGAATAGAATCATCGCAAGAGGCGGGCTTCACACTGTAGCTTAAAGCATCAGCTCCTCGAGGGTTTTTCTGCAGCAACGAGAGGTCAAAGGCCCGGTCTTCAACAATCTCCTTGCGCGGGGCTTGACCGCATAGTCATCAGGGCCTGCCACAAAGCTTCCAATTTGTAGTGCTACCTATTGGAACGCGAAGAAAACTATAGGAGACCTGACGAAGGGAGTCTGGATCACCTCGACACTTATGTACTCTGAGTATCTTGGACTCAACTTCCAGGTCTTCATGTTAATTTAGCCAAACGGGCAGACTTCAGACGTCGTTATACGATCCTTCTCTGCAACATATTTACTGCTGCAACAAGGTCTCTCAAAGTAAGCTAGACTTGGCACTACCTTGGCCTTTGCTTCATGGAGTAACTACAGTGACCGCGCTAACGGCGTTCCCCTTTCTGTGGGCTTGCCTTTTGTAACGCGTTGTACTCATAATGCCTATCGCAAGACCAAAGGACTCTGTAGCCTGGATCGATAAGTTTGAATGTGAGCTTGATCGTCTTATGGACACCAGGAGAGGCGAGACGTCTATCAGCGGGCCTGTCATTTCACTTCGGTCCGTGCTTCTGATCAAATGCCATTTGCGGGAAGACGACGATAATTCTCCCTTTATTTGTTCTCCCCCGCCTCGTCACTTATCACAGCATAGAGCATGTTTCGCTCCTCTGCTTTCTGCTGGCGCTCATTGGCGTCACTTTAACTCTGTCTTTCACGCCCTCCTGATGGCGGAGATCGCGTATGTGGTCGAGGCGAAGCAGAAAGCTAAACCTGGCATGTATGGGGAGAAGGATGCATATAGAACTCAAGCTCTTCCATGTGCATGGGCGCGGCAGGGGGGTGATGTGGGCCGGGTATGTAAAGTCAATGGCAGGCTGGGGGACTATGGCCTGGAGCCTGCGCATGTTAGGGGCTGTTACTGCTGGGACGACGTTGGGGTGGATGGGAGGCTCTAATATCAAGCTGAGTATGAAAAAAAAAAACTTTTACGGACTTGGGATTGAGAGAGGAGAACAATCGGTGTTGAGGGGGCATAGCCGATTGGTGATGTAAGGCCACTCGGAACACAGGGATAATGGAACATTGGTCACAGAGAGTGCTTGCAATCGGTCATCTACTTCCAAACTCACCGGATTCCAAACGTAAAGGACCCGACAATTCTAGGCCTTCCTTTCAGCGAGCAGGCGGTTTTTCTTTCGCAGGTCAACAACGTTGGACATCCCTTCTATGAAGAAGACTGAGCAGTGACATAAAAACTAACACCTGAGAGATTGACTTCGCCATGAGGAAAGTGTAAAATGAGACTGGACTTCAGGAAGAGAAATGATGGGAAGCAACTGAATCATTGTTGTGACTGGAGAAGTTTGATCCATCCTTTGACCCCATCCGACAAACCAGGTTCTGGCGCATGGGATAATTTTCTCTAATATACATGTACGCCACAAAGAAATCAATGAGATGGCAAACTTGCAACTTCTCGTTCAGCAATGAGGAGGCCACCCAACAAACTAGCATGCAAAGTAGCATATGAAGTAGACCACCGCACCGTTTAATGCGGTTCCAGCGGAGCTGCATGTTTCGGTATTAATCATCTTTGGGTTTGGATCAAAGGACACTTGTGGTATGGTTGTGTCATTCAAGGGGGCGCTTAGGTGGTGCGGCGGGGTGACCCATCTCATGTATACCATAGAATAGTTGGGATCTTCTGCTTCCAAGGCCCATAGCTGAAGAGGGGATCCGCCCATCTGAATGACAGACTGGTTTTTACTATCATCTGCTGGCGAGCGCATCCCATCGAGTGGCCAGACTGTAGTTGGGGACATGTTGCCCATGGCATTGTTGAGATTGTCTCGAGCCCAGAGCTGATAGTCTGCGCTACCGTCGGTACCGTTGCGTTGCAAGCCGCATACCGAGCAGGTACCAGGGGCGTAGGGAGCACTGGGGGGAGGCCGTTGGACTGGTACCGTCCAGCAATTATTAATATTATGGTTGTTCGGATTGTAGTTTACGACGCCGCCGTCCAGGACAACACCGTCTAGGGTAGGTGGGAGGGGAGTCCTAAATCACTCTATCAGTTGGGGCATCGAGAGAGCGGGGCGTGCGAGTAATACGGTGCTGGGGGTGGATCAGCCGCTTTAGCTGGACCCGGAGCTGGAGCTGGGCCCGGATTTGGAGCTGGAGGTGGGGGTGGAGGTGCTGGCACGGCAGCTCGTTGCTCTACACGGGAATGGAGAGCGATATCGAAATCACTACCACCTGTAGGCTTCGCGGTAACTTTGAATGATGCGAGAAGAGAGACAAGGAGGTAGGAGGTTTTCATGGTGATAATTGCTGACGAGAAGTTGGATTAAGACTTGGTGTGTGTGATGGCTGCGGTGATTGCATGAAGATAGGAGTTGTATGAAAGTAGGAAGCAAAGTGTCCGGACTGAGAATTGGTGTCTTTGATGGCTGTAATAGCTGTATGACGATAGGAGTCATAGGAAGTAAAGTGGGAGTCAAGCAATATTTATACATTTGCAGCAAGTCTGCCTGTCGACATCACTTGTGAGTCATCTGGAGCCGAAATATTGAAATAGATGAGAACGCAGGCAGCTTGATGTTTTCAACAATGCGAAACGAAAGGGTTCGGTGTCGGCTCCGCACGTTGGCAGTTAAGTGACTGGCTCCCATAAACGAAAGAACTTGTTTCATCTCTTCGTCCTACCTGGAGAATAACTCATTTTGTGCATGAAACAACAAAAAACCAGGGCGAAACGTATCGAGCTGACACGATTGCTGTCTGAAGAGAGCAGCCAGGGTATCAGCCTTGAATGTTGAAACTGTGGCCAACTCTATTTCGAGAGAGCCAATAAGATGCCATATTCTCGTCCGGTGACCAATATCATGAGCGTAGCGCCGTATCGCCGAATCCAAGCCGAACCAATGAACCGCGCGCTTGGCACCCGTCAAGAAAAGTGTTATCGAAAAGGCGGATGGGGTATGCCTATCCGCGAATTGCGCCAGTGATTGCAGAGTGTCGCTCTATTCAGGCACAAAATGATAGTTCGAGACAAGCAATCGGGTGAGGTGTCATGTCTCGTCTTGGTCGATGGCATCTAGGCTTGAGAGTGGCGTTCTGGGTTCTGCAGGCAGGATATCATAGCCATTCGTACAGCTCTCGGAGTCCGTCAGCCTACACCTCAGCGGATGAGAAACAGAAGGAGACCCTTGGAATGCAGTGCGTCATTGCCCATGTAGATGAAGAACATCATCGAATTGTGCCAGCGAAACATTCTTAGCGTGCTCAGGTCTCTTTGGTTTTAGCTGTGTCGATAATGTTTCAAAAGCGTATCACGTAAACAGATCGAGACCAAAACCTCAACGTCTATCTGGTTTGATCTAAGGCGTAGTCTTAGATCTTGTTGCCTGGCAAAAGGAGAAAGCAGGGTTAGGGTTAAAGTCACAAATTTCGTCAAGGCAAACAGAAAGGCCCAGCTTTACTATGGCCTTGACACTCACTTCGTATAAGCGAAGATGGCTTGTCGAACCCGTGGATTGAGCTCTCTCTCTAAATTACTTTTGCATATTGTGGCTACCTCCTCTTACTCTTCGCAATGAACCAGAATTTGCTAAAGCACCTTATGGCGCTATTTCCGCAAGAGTGGGTCTGCTGCAACCATTTCGAATGGACTTGCCACATGACCACCAAATACTGTACCTGTTGGATTTGATGGAGGATGGAGGATTGATTAGCTATGGAGTGGTATGTAGGCTACTTATATGCCATGTGAAGCCTATGCTAACTTGCCACTATGAGGGGTAGCTACAACACAAGGGCTGTAGCATTTCCAACAGTACCATATAGGTACTCCTTGGGAGCAACATTACCCTCTGCGGCAGTCTAATTGAACAACTCTCCGCCAGCATCCAATGCGACCAACAGCAAAAAGGCCTGCCCCGGCATGTTGTCAGCATATCTCATTACTGTTGTTGCTACAATCATGCAATCCACATCTGATTGCTCTGGAAGCTTCACACATAAAGTATTTTGAGTTGCGTGACAAGAGGTGGCCGAGGTCTATAGCGGTCAAAAGAATATCGTTAGTTACAACCCTAACCCTAATACCTAAGCATTGAGTATAGTGCCGCTAATGCTCAAATGTATTCACAAAGGAGTACATTTCAGATAATGCTCAAATGTATTCACAAAGGAGTACATTTCAGATAATGCTCAAATGTATTCACAGGAGTACATTTCAGAGCTGACGAGAGATAGTAGTCGCAGTAAGAGCACATGACTGTTCGCGATATCTCTCTCGGTCGCCATCCCCCTGTTGAAATACCACAATTCTAGCAGCCCCGAGTGCCCAGATTTTGCCCATCAATTACTGCTCAAAGTCTTGGTGCGGCGACGAAGGCGGTCTCCATATCTCGTTCGACACATCTATGGTTGAGTCTTGCGGGTTTGGTTGCATGATTCTTTTCGGCCTATCCTCCAGCGGCCAGCCGACTCGCTTCAGCCTGGATGGCATTTCATAATCGCCGGGAAGGACTTTGGGCTTGCTCGAGGTCCGCCCCGACAGGAGACTGATGAGCAACGTAGGTTTGAGCTTCTCGAAGACGGGCTTTGTGACCGGAAGACAGGCATTGACCACACCGAGTGACGACTCAAGGCAGGTTAAAAGCGCGATCAGCGCGTACTGACCTGCAGTATTGTTGGCGGTGATGTCGGTTGTTACTTTGATCCGGACTAAGGTGATGATGCAAATGCTGTGGCAAGCATTAGTACTCGAACGGTCAAGTCGCGCTTCGCCCAGAGAATAGGAAGGGTAGGAGCAAAGTTGCTCTTACGCTATACCCATTGAAAACAGTCCGCTCAAAACAATCTTCTTTCCGGTCGGCATTTGAAGCCCCCATAAGACGGGCATTGGCAATGCGACGGTTGTGATGTCCATCAATAAATTGAAGACTCCAATGAATAGATCTAGAGACTTTTGGTCGCCACAAGACCCGTGTATGGACTGGTCCCAGTTGAAAGCGAAGGGTCGGCATATTAGACAACATGCCAGCACTGTTGCTGTGAAGTAAGCCAAATTGATTGAGAGAATCCCATAGCACGCGATGCGAAAGGATTTCGTGCAGAAAATTCGATTGTACAAGAAGAGGACTGATGCGCGTATCAGTGTCACGGCGGTGATCCAGAGAAGTTGCCCTACGAGCAAAGCCTTTGTGTTTTTAGTAAATTCTGAGCTGCGAGGCATAAGCGAATACCACGAACCTTGTATTGAAGGACTACAATGTCGGAATCTCCCGCGACACTCCTCGAGAAAAAGCCCCAGTAGACATACGCTAAATAAAATATCAGAACATAAAGCATCGAGTGTTATGAAGCATGCGTACAGTGGACTGAAACAGAGGTGGAAGCCAGCGTAAAGACCTGATGTCAGCTTAGCGTGTCGTAAGAATTCCTCACTCGAGGCGTTGAGTATACTAGGCCTCCAACGCATAGGTAGTCATTCCATTCAAGTCTGTTTCTCTTGATCATCCGAGCCCATAACCGAAATATGAGAGACATGAGCGCAAGGAAAGCAAAAACGGATATGACAGAGACATGCATGATTTTGGACGGGTCGCAAGTAGCGCAGTCTGCCATTGTGTTTTCTTGGAACGTAAGACTATGACTCGCGAGATTGAAATGGCGATGGAATTTCCGCGTTAGAAATGTCTGCTGTGTGCAAAGTAGAGGAGAAAGAAAAGAAGAAGGGAGCGGAGACAGATGAGAGTTTCAAGCATTAGGAGAGATGATTACGGTGGAGTCAGTCGTAAACGTGTGGAATTCACGGAGATCAGATCCTACAAGTTTGAGATTATGCCTCAAAATCTTCCGACAGGTTCGAAGAACATATGTAGATGTACCAGCTGAAATTCCGAGGAGGAGAGGAAACGGATTCGTCCGGGTTTGAGATTGGCTCGTGAACTGATCAACTTGTTACATGCACTCCACTCGCAAGAAGAGACAAATGTAGCTAAGCACGATGCACGTGTCCTTTTTCGACGAAGGATTCAGCCTCTTCGGCTAAAAGATGTCGATTTAACGATACAGATATCAATATCAAGAAACGTTGCATACTTTAGCCGGACCCACCAGCCCTCAGCGAACCAAGCAATTGGTGCCAGAGAAACACGCTAATTGCGGGGGACCATACGAAGCCGAGCACATTTGCCAGGCAGCTTATTGTCTACTTCCACGCATTGCGCAAGCACTGCCACGCTGAGATTACAACGGTGGAAAAAATTAATGTATGTGTTGCATGAATGCAGGAGATGTGCAGTATGGGGCGGAGCAATTTTCGGATGACCTATGAAACCGATGCCGCGTCCTCCCGCTCGACATGACCCGACGTTTGATCCCGGCGTCTTCCGTTATCAAGTACCTTCATTCTATTTTACCATATTGCTACATCTAAAGCAATGACTTCTCCTGTTAAACGTTGAATGAAAACTATCAAGGGCATCTTCATGGACTATCATCATGGTTCTGGAAGCTGGAATCTGGCTCCGATAAGGCTACTTCAATTAATCGAGTGAGTACAAGTAAAAAAGCCGATCGTTTCGCATTTATTGATCTTACAACTGAAAGTAAGTCGGCTGAATATAATCAAATCAGCCAGCGATAGCGATGCAACATAGCCACAAAACTTATGCCCTCTCGTTGCGCGCGACCGCGATATGAATGTCAATGTCGAGAAGCGGAAAGGGTGTGGCATACCTTACGTGGACGCTTAATAAAACGTCAACCAGGTTCTTTCCCAAAGCTGTCGCAAAAGAAACGATACGTTGATGTTTTTCATTTGCATTTGATCCTTTATCAAAATCACCCAACTCCTTATACTGGAAAGAAGTCTCTAGCGCCAGAGCGACTCCCTTACACTCCACTTTGCGCAAATGCAGAGACGTATGCAAGGTATATACGATCATCCAAGGTGCTTCGATCCATCTTCAGCCTTGACGCCTACCACACTAGCTGTGAAACACTAGCCTACCTATCAGGGTCCTTCTCACGCAAAATGTCTTCTACATCTGCCCTCAGTAATGGTCTGCTAACTCAATCCACGGTATACCATGGCATGTGGATCAATTGGTCCCAGGGATTTATGAGAGGGGGCAACTCCACGACTACTACCGGTGGAGCAATCCTGGTTGCCCTCCTAGCCTTATTTATACAGTTCACAGGCAGCCACTTGTGGGGAATATTACGTTTCACAGTTCATTAGATTAGAGTCGGCAAAAGGCCTCGAGACGGACTGTACCACCAACAACAGGTTATCCTTCGCAATTCTTCTCCAGCACATGCAGCTGGAGCCTTAATGCAAGTCGGTTGGGGATGGCGGTCTAGGATCCGCGATCCAGTGAGGCGCTCTTTGCCATTAGCTTTCGTTGCTTTAGCCAACTCAGACACCCCCAATCTTACTGCAGCCATCAACATTCTCCATGCTTATACGATAAAGTCTCTCTCGGACAGTACTAGCTACGCCCGCTCTTGCTATGCCTCTGAGGACACAGGCCGGACTTGGCAGGATTGCTCGACCTTCCCGGCCTCCAAATTACGCTTAACGCAGACTAATACCCCATGTCCAGTCGATGCGGAGATTTGCACAGCACCGTCGATTAAGCTGGATACCGGGTTCATGGACTCTGACCTGTCATTCGGTTTAAACGCTCCTCCACCGAACAGAGTGAAGTAAAAATATCGCAAGGTTACCAATTGTGCCCCCATTGAGGTAAGCAAGTTTCCAAGCCATTCCCCTATTAGCCCATTCGAGACCAGGCTCTAAAACCAGGCTCCGAGAGACTTTTTTGCTGTGCTTCTTCCGGTTCTGTAATGCTCTTCAAAGTAACATTTTGACCGGAAACATCTACTAGGCAGATCAATTTTCGGCCGTCAAACAAGGAAGCTCTCAGGGCACTAATTACAAGGTGACGAGTGCTTTACCTGAGTTCCAGTACGTGGAGCTGTAATATGGTACGTCTACCATACTCGCTTTGGACGGTACAGTCACGCGGAACTATACCTATAACACACACTTCTGCTGAACTTCACATACGAGGCCGGGCATGGCTTTGAAGACTTGTTTGACTACGGTCTCTTGTGAGCAGTGCCCCGAACCGATGATTCATCCATTTCCTATCAGAAAAAACGATTTACTGATTGAATTCTTTCATACAGTCCAACGACTTTCTTCCCTGGAAGCCCGCCATTCAGTAGCTCCTTTGAACCTGTATCCCAATTGAACCGAGAGGACGCCGACGTCAACTTGGCATTTTGTCCGCAAATTCGATCCCTTTTACCACGCCAGTTGATGATCCCTGGTACTCAGCCCATTCGAACCCGTTTCAGACGATAGCCAATGGCACGAATTTGGAGACTTGTCGGGACCCCGAACAAGGGTACCATATATTTTCCGGATTGCCCTGTCAGCGTTTTGGCTTGTACCGAACAATATCAGCTATGTGCGCCAAGTTCGAGTCCAGAGTGTACTCCTCTTACCGGCATCAATCTGCTCCACGAAGCTTAGGAGACCTTGCCCTAGATGATGCCCAGGCAGCTACTGCACAGGTTCTCTGGAGCGCTTCGGGAAGCCTCAATTGTGTGATTGGGTCTCTGGGTACATATTCATTGCTGGCCCGGAATTCAAAGGAAGGTTCCGTCCAGGGTTTTCTCCCTTCGAATCAATGGACTTTGGAGGCCGAAAGCTGGACTCAAATCATTCTAGCCGACATGCAACGTTCGGCCCTCGAATCCAGAGACCTTGCCATCCTTGTACCACCTAATGGATCCTCTCAGGAGCACTTATGCCATAACCAGCGAGCCCGATCTGGTCAAGCACAGAACTTCAGTGTTTTAGCCATCGGCTTGATTTTAGGACTGGGCTTGCTCATTATTTGTGTCGGTCTAGGCCTTGACCGCCGTGTCAGTTACGGCAACGTGAAAAGGATTTGAAAGACTACCGCCGGTTGGCGTGGAAATCGAATGGGCTGTTGCAGTTGCAAAGACTGGCTCACGAGGAGGCAGGCTTTGGAACTTGGGAGCGCCGTGCGAAGAATGTACCAGTCACCATTCCGGGCGAGACACTCGCTACCCTGGACGTGAACGACCCAGAACATCCTACGCTGCTGAAGACCCCGGTGTTGTCAAATCAGCCTTTGCAGCCAAAATCCACTACCACGCATATCGGTAGTCCACAGAAGACAGATACCACCGCCATCACTGCTCTATCTGCGGAAATCGAACCGAAGCCTGTAGATGGAGAACATGAAACGGGTGGGTCTCCTTTTCAACAAATCAATCTCTATACACTAACTCATCTGGGCTTAACAGAGCGTCTTAATTCATCATCATCAGCGAACAACACTGGCGGTCCAAATCTCGGCTTTACAATGCCAGTTGAGTCTACGCCTGATAAGCGACTGCCTGGCTGGGACCGAGAAGGAACTCTTTGTAGCATGGAACGTTCGTGGAAATGACTTTTTCAATGATTTCAGATCTCAAAACGGTTTATCAGGGCTACATGAAGTACCCAATATTTCCTATCCTAACTGGCTTGCCATAGAAGTGCTATAAAAATGTTGTTTTAAATCTTGCTACTCTCCCTGGTCGCTCATACCATTGCAGACTGCCGATCAACTCACAGCCAAATGTGACAGAAGCGCTCTAGTAAGTGTGAGGCCTCCCACAGAGGCAGCTCAGACCAGTTGAAACTCCCAGAAAACGCATTGAGAGGTCGACAAGGCTCTCAAGTGCCAAGCTTAGTTCAGGCCTGGCCACCGCTACAAAAGCCATATGTGCACGGCCTGGACCTGTGTACAGAGTTCACCTTGGAGTTCCAAATTTTCGAAGTAACCGCTTCGGAGTCCCAGTAACTTTCAAAACATTTTCTCGATTCTTGAAAGTCTTGAGATTTTGACCGTGGATTTGCATGCCAGCATCAGAGATACGTCTCCGGATGTAGCAGCGCTGAATCTAACCTTTGGCAGTGGTGCTGCGATAACGCGCCTTCCGTCCCACTGGCCTACAGATACTAAGACTGCTTCACCGCTGCTATGGGGATTTGAGATTTCTAATGCCCAGGATGGGAGGACGTTTCCAAAATGCACAGCTGTATCGTTCCGTTTTATAAGTTGAGATCATTCCAAGGAGCGAGGATACTGCTGGCTAAAAGAGATCGTTGCATTCGATTGCATGCCACCGTGGTCGCGGTGAGTAATGCGGCTCGGATTGCTGTTTCTGCTACGCCCATCCTATCCTGAGCGAAGTGGCCCCAATGAATGTTGCACTGTCTGGTCGCTCGCGGGAGGGAGGTCTGGGGCGGACATGGTCGAGGAGTTATACGTTGAAGTCGAGTGGTTAATGCCGTTGTTATTCTGGGTAGTGACGGTGTACGCATCGAAAGACGACTACTTGCTTTTCAATGTCGTGTACCACAGTCTTGGACTGCGAACGCCAAGGCTTCAGGTGAACCAATGACAGGAAGGATAGAGGCGGGACGGCGTGACGTAACTCCAAGCAGGAAGTTCTAGCTGACATGAGTGACGAGCACGTCTACGCCAGAGTGGGGCATGCTGTTAGTGGGGGGAAAGAGAAAGCTCGACGATGATCTCGAGCCTCAATAGTCTTTTGATCGCCCGAGAATAATGAAGCATACTGAAATACCCCGTAAACCTGATGCTGTTGAAACGCAGCTGAGCAAAACCGAGAATCCTGTTGAACTATTTGCCGCATAGAGAGCATGTTGCCGTTCAGTACAGTTCCTAAGTGAGTGATATCCAATCTCTGTGTCTATGGGTTTATGCGCCAGTGGGTGTGGCGAGAACGTTGACTCGCCGGCCGTATCCCTTTTCTATTAATGGCAAGTTGCGGAAACCGAAGAGATCAACCTTGGTGATTCTTGATGCCCTGGACACATGTCCTTATAATCACCGCGGTGAGAAGACGCGTATTCCTGGCGAAATGTGACAAGGTGTGACTCTGATCTCGATCACATCTTTTTCCCACTCAGCAGAGCCGAGGCTAGTGCTGAAAGGAGTGGCATTCACGTCTATTCACCAAGAGCGGGATCAGTAGAGGGTCTCCCCTCGGCTATGGCGGTTGAATATACACAGCTTCCCATATGCCCCTTGTGTCGTCGAGACCTTGCCAGGCAACCTCCCTATATCTCAGGCGATACATTTACGTGCGGTGCATCCAGATCTCCCAAGATCTCGTCATGCATGCCTGCATAACCTCTTCATTGTCTACAGGGTTGTAGGCCCATGGGCCCTCAGATAGGTTGACTTGCTGTCCCCAGGGAGCTTATAAATCAGGAGCTTGAACTTGGAAGAGGCGATCGATAGACATAGAAAGTACAAGTAGACAAGGATTATGTTTCATAGACTCCCTGTGTTGCAAATAACCAGCTTCTCATGACGTAATCTGTGACGGTTTGGAAACGCGGCCTTAATTCCGCGCCGAAAACTTTTACCTGCAGTCCTCAGCTAAGACACTTCTTTCATTGACACACCACACATTGCACATCCCCTGACCAATACTTATATACCATCACTGCTGCGTCAAAACAAGGCCTTGAACACTACAAGACACCCTCAAGGTTTCGGGCATATCCGCGCTATGAAGGTACCGAAACTCGGTGAGCCCACCTGAAGGGCCTGGCTGCTGGGCTCGAACGGCTTCGAAGCAGAAGATTGAACCATGTCGAAATCATTTTTTCATACCTCGAAAAGTAAAGACTCCCACAGAAATGCTTTACGGTACAAAGGTTTAGTGAGGGCAAAGTCGATGCTTGCCCAACCTTCATCAGAAAGACATCTGCAAGTGGTAGAATAAGAAAGCACTGCAATACCCGTATATAAATATAAGGCATTCACCACGAAAGGAGGTTCAACACTCAGCCTTCAGTGACCTTACAGTTCTTGTTATGAAGACTCAACTGATACACGTCTACACGGGACTGAAAGTGGAATAATTGGATCTCGACTTCAGAGATGCCCGATACCAGGAATCTGTGTCGTGCTGAGTCCCTGCGCTGCAAAACTTTGAGGTCTCTGTAGGGACGCAATATCGATCGTTGCGAGCGATGAATCTTGTGAGTAAGTTCAACCCCTATAGTAAGTAAATGTCGGTTCACATGCTGTCATTTGGTGGACGGGATTTCCGTATGTGATGCATGCTATTACATTTTCTCCTTTGCTTTTGGTGAAAAGAAATTGAGATACAACAACGCCTTGCTGCCTTTAATGCTTCCAACTGCATGCATTGACTTCTAAAAAGCTGTCGGGGAAAATGAATGACAATGGCAACTGACGCTTTTGAAATTGAAGAAGTAGTAAAGATGCTGAGGAGAAGCTGTGGTGGATCCTGTGAATGAGCATCAAGAGCAGAAGCCGGCGAAGGGTAAGCTAGGGGTCGAGCATCGAAGACTTCTCCGGTTTATTGGAGCTCTCGGGTAGTCATTGGATAGCTGTCTTGATAGTCGGGACTCTCAGCTACAGTTGGTTAGTAAGACGTCTCGCCTTCTGGCACACATCAGGACAGTGGATTTACTCACGATCCATACCAGAAGACCTAAAAGTAGAGTCTTGACAAGATCTGCCCATCCGGCATGCACAAATCTGTGACATTGCCTGGAACGGCCCCGGTCCTACAGCATCTGACACAGAGCGGATTCACACCAAAGCACCACTTGCGAATGTTCTGTAACGTCACTGCATTGACGGTTTTGCGGATGCCGCAATTGGTGCAGATATTCATCTGTTCGGCAGGCACGACCGTGACCTCCACGAAGCCAGCCATGGAGGCGCCTAGCCCCTCGAACATCTCGCCATAGCTGTAGACTAGGATCTGGTCAACACGCGGACTCTAGTCTAAAGCGGATTGTTCGATGAGTTGTACCTTTGTTTGGGACCCTAAGAGGACTCAGGCCTGGCACAAACTCCGGCTGCGTCTTGGTGATCACGCCCCCAGTGGCTGGAATCTCGAAGACTTCGCACAGCTTCAACGCGAGGGCCTCTTCGGGCACCGAAGGTTTCATTTTCAAAAGCACGTGGCGAGACACCTTGTCGTGTGGCGACACGCAGCGGAACATGATGCGAACTGGTGTCTCGTTGGTGGGACCCCCTACGAGGTATTTCGTGCCGATGAAGGTCGAGGATGTAGGAGGAGGGTGAGGGCCGATGAAGGTAGGAGGAATGACTGGTAGTTCAGCGCGGTTGAACGCCTCCTGACAGACATATCGGTCGAGCTCGTCTAGTGTCAGAGGTGCACGCACGCTCGAGGAGGGATGGGTGCTGGAAGGTGGGATCGCTGCTGATGCTGAGTTTGGTGATGACATCGTTGGCGATAAGAATGAGAGATAAGGGAATTTTCTTTCGAAAGACTTGAGTTGACTGAAAGAGAGAGTAGTTGCTCGCCTTTTAACACGGGCCCGAGTGACGTGACAGCGCTTGGCGCTTAGAGCCGATCAAGGCCACCTTCGAACAGCTTCCATTTGACTACCCCAAAATCTACAGTACCTTCGACTCGCTGCTAGAACTCCCAGGCAAAAGCAGCCTCCTCCTCCAGCTACCACCACCTTTGAAAAGTTGGGCTGCCAGGCAACAACTTGAGGCAGTTGTTGTTTCTACATCTCGACCGAGTTCTATCCTCCAACCTTGCCTGAATATCACAGTCGGTTACATCCGTGCTTCATCAATTGGAAGGTACCTGCCATCTAATCATATCAGAGCAGGTATCGACAAACCGGTCTCCCGCATCTCTACACTACAGTACACAGGCCCATCAACCATGGACGAAGCAGCTCAAGCCGCACAACAAGCCCATACCTACAACACAGCAGACTTGTACAACCACCATGACATCTACAAGGCAAAGCAAGAAGAAGCCAAAGATCGTGAGAACCATGTCCAAAGAAGCATCCTCGGGCGTTCTCTGCGTCGTTTGCAACACCATCAAGGCACTGCCGTGCGTCTACTGCAAGAACGCACCTTCTCCCTCCGGAGACCCCGTCCCTTTAGTTTACTTACTGCAGCAACACATGTGCAGCTTCCGATTGGGCGAACCATGAAGCATACTGTCTAGCATCCAAAAATCGCAGGGCGTTGTTTGAAGCCGCGGAGGTGCTACAGGAAAAATACTACACTGCTTGTGAAATGGATCTCCTGGAGGCCTGCCAGACCGGGCTTAACTCCAGTAAGATGGTGTTTTACGATAGACAATCTCTTCAACGACGCATCGATGCCCTATCCGAGAACAGGGAGCAAGATAAGGCTTTCTTGGGGTGCTTCGGTGGTAACAACCCTATGTTATTCAGGCGTCGTGAAGTAACAAAGCATCTTGAAGGTGAGAAATCTTCCTTTGGAGGTACTATATGCAGTGATGGTTTGCACTGCGATGCTATCAGAAATTATTATGTTGGTCAGATTCAACTGACGTATGCTTAGGCCTAGACATCGAGATCCGCGAAATGACTATCCGTATGGAGGATCGTACTCGTCGCTTTTCATTCGAAGAGCAAGCAATCTCAATCCTGGACCAGCACGAAGTCCTGCAAGTCACGATGAACAACAGTGAGAAGTACGTTCTCGACATAGCAGGCGCCCAATTTGGACTCTATGCCCCTATTGTCCCATTCCAGCAATATGTCGACAGCCACGTTCGCGAGATAAAAGGTTACAAAGACTTTGTGTACGCATAGTTCTACGAAGATTCGACCACGTGGGAGACACTAGACATTCGCGCTGGATTAGTTTCGCTCCTCTCGGCTGGGACAGCACGACGGACCACTTAGTATGCTTTCGACCTTTCTACACACTTAATACTCTGGGTGAAAAGATGTTACTGTGCGCGAGAGAAGCTTGATGCTATCTAGTACGAGAAGCGTGGAGGCTGAGGCGTGCACTGACCGACGGTAGTGAAGTGATGCTAATGTAGTTGATTGATGTAGTAATCAATGAATGGCTTGTCTAGCAAAGAGAAGAAAAATAGCGCACTTGTTGTTGTAGGTTTCCACTTCAATGTTGGTCTGTCTGCTATTGCCGCAGTTGGTGAAATCCTAAGACGAGTTTCAACACCATCACTTCAAGGTCAGCTCTATGATACTCTCCGCCTCCGGCACATCCGTCCAGATCTTCTGAATTTTCAACCCCGCCGAACCTGCCACCTCATGCCACTGCTGCTCGGAGCGCTCGGTCGCTGCCAAACAGGCCATCATAGTTATATCAACTTGAGCTGCGATAAGGCTACATTTCTGGTTGGGAAGAACGAGCTCATTGAGGATGATTTTGGAGTAGCCTGGCGTCATTGCTGACGCGAGTTGGGAGAGGATGAGCTGGCAATGGTTATCAGGCCAGTCATGGAGGACATTGCGGAGATAGTAAGCACGTGCGCCTAGCTAACAGATTAGCATCAGAGTCTGAAGAGATCAAGTGTTTCAGGCTCAGACCTTTGATCGGCTGCGGAGTGAAGAAGTCATGCACAACAGTTTCCATTCCCGGCACTGGCAACGCTTGCTCAATCGTATCCGGTAGGTCCTGCAGCAGGAACCTCCCAGGCAGACTTGGATGCTTCTTCTTAATTGCTTTGACCTCATGTCCGCGTGCGCCGCCCACATCTACCAACATGACCGCACGATCACCTCCTTTGAAGCCTTTGGCAACTAGTTCCTCGAAAGGAAAGAAATCGAGCCAGCCCGTACGACCCTCACGCTGGCCTGTCATCCAGAGGTTGAAGTTGTTGAGATGCTCGGGGTGTTTTGGGAACCACTCAAACAGGTTGTCTTTGGTATGAAAGCCTTCTTGGAAAGCGCATTCCTTCGGGTCAGTGGGATTCCGATACTGAGTCTTGGCGAGGAATGAAGGAAGAGCCATGGTGGCGATCCCAACGAGATCATAGGTATGATTGATGCCTGCTTCAAGCTGGGGGACGATCAAGTTCTTTGTGACGCTGTTGGCGATATAGCTATCGACGCCGGCTTCATCGATGTCGTGCGTAGCGACAAGGAACCGAAGGAGGCGGAGGAGCAATACGTGATCGGCACCAGTATTTTGCGCTAGCTCTTTGCCAGTGACAGGTACATCGCTTTCCACCAAGATATGGAAGAGTTGTAGTCTGTTGGCGATCCGAACGATAGTTGTTCGCATAGGCTGTTTCCATCAAATATCTTTGTCAGCAGCTTGGTCGTTCGGATTGGAGGTGATTCTGAGGCAATTCATGCAAGGCAGGGTTCGAGCTCGAGCTTACGTAGTAGGCTACACGTTGGACAGTCTCTCCGGGCGTTTCGAGTGCAAGGCTCAACTTCTCAGCAGTTTCCTTTAGATGCTCGCGAGTGGTTGGTGCTGCGGGATCATTTGCTGACAAGGTTTCCCTGAGCGAGTTAATCAGAGCGGTGATCTCGGAGTTCTGGGTCGCGTTGGCTTTGACTGGCTCCATGATGTGTGAGTATTAGAGATAATGACAGAAGTGCTATATAGGTGAGGTGGAATGATGACATGGAGGCAGTTGTGAAAGGAAAGATGGTCCTTGCTCCAAGGGAGAAGTGAGGTTCAGGGGAAGGAGCGAAGGAAACAGTCCTAATCCTAGTCCGGCAGGTGGGGTCCGAAATCCTCCAGTGAGCACAACAACAGCCATGGGCACAATGCATCCTGTACGGATGTAACTTCCGGGGATTTTTATGCACATTGTGCGCAACTGTTGTGGAAAGGATCATCATCCCCGTCATATCTTCCAGGTAATCACTAGATAATTTTCCGTCCGAAGCGCACCCACAAGGAAAAAAATTAAAAGAAATTTTTTTTTTTGATAATAATCATAAAGAAAAACGTAGTTGTTACAACCCACCAAGCTAAAGGTAAAGCACAGCCTCAGGTACCCCTCCACTAAACCGCATGAGTAGTTACCGTCACTCCGGGCGGCACCCTGCTCTATAACCTAGTCGTCATGGCCCGGGTTACTCCGTAGAGAATCCAAATAGCAAACTCCCAGCAACAACGATCTGTGGATTAATCATCATGAAACAGCAGGATCACCCGCCTCTATGTTGTAAGGAATCTAGGATACTACATTCGAGACCGTTCTTTCTATCAGAAGATTCGCGGGTCGCGAATATACTCTACCCATTTCCCAGAGAAATGTCCCTCATACAAATGGGACAGTGCTTTAACAACAGCAATATTTGAAATGCCGTCTTCCTCAATTTTGGCGCAAGCTGACATCTTCATGTCATGTCTGCTTCAGCCGCTGCAAAGCATGACTAATGCACACTCTCTGACACTCTAATGTCGGCACAATTAATACAATAGCTGCAGCCTCCTAGGTAGGAATCCGCTTCCGAGCAGGCTCAATATGCTTCTAGCCCTAATCTGGATGACGGATGCACAGTCAGCCCAATACGTGGTCTAGGCACGCTTATCCCTACCTACCTACCAATCAGAGAGAACCATGGATATCGGTCAAATTTGTCATTTGACTCCATCCTGCCGGCTCCGCCATCAGGGTGTGCACCCTTTTCTTGCGGCTGACTTCAAGCCCCGTCATATGTACTCTACAGAGCGGCAGTCATTCCCCCGCCTTCTCCTCTAACTCGCGCACCTATCCCGAACGCTCAACATGTCAACATTGACTGCTCCACCAGGTGGTGATCGTAATCGAGCGACTGAGCTCAACGCTGTTGCTTGGACCTGGTTCAGCCTCTCCACCGTCTTCGTTGCCGCCAGGGTGTATAGTCGTCTCAAACTTACTCGAAACTTCTGGTACGATGATCACTTCATCGTGCTGTCATGGGTGCGAATTGATGTAACACTGCTCTCTATGAAACCTGTTTGACTTTCTACAGGCTCTTACACTTGCATACTCCATATTGTACACAGTCCTAGGACAGCTTGGAGGCTGCAGGCATTTGTACTACTTACAAATGAACCCAGCGCAAGCGATCAAGGCCTCTCGAATCAACTGGATAACACAACCGGTCACCATTTACGCTCTGGCGACTGGGAAGATATCCGTAGCCTTCCTGATAATGCGAATTATGGGAAAAAGTAAATGGCGCAAAGCTTTCCTTATCTACGGAGCAATGATAGGGAGCTTTCTCTTCTGCACAATTGCCATCATCCTTACCTTCGCGCAATGTCGGCCTGTAACAGCTTTGTGGAATCCTGAGCTTTCTTTAATGGGGAAGGCAACGTGTTGGCCACCTCAGAGACAGTCAGACTTTTCGCTGTTCACCGGCAGTATGTAACGTCCAGAACTTGTCAGAGTGTTCCGTGGTGGGTATTGACCCAAGTGGCAGGTTATCTGGCGTTCATCGACATCGCTCTTGCGCTTCTGCCCATCACCATCATGTGGAATTTGCAGATGACTCTCAAGAAAAAAATCGGTATCTGTTCTGTCATGGGACTCGGTATATTGTGAGCGGTGTCCGCGAGCAGACACTCACAAAGCGATGAGTCTCAGCTGATGCTCAACGGTCAGTGCCTGCATATGTGCTTGTATTAAAACATCCAAGCTGCCAGAACTGAATGCGCGCTCAGACATCACTTGTAAGCCGACTATCCTATTCCGAATGGCAGTTTATTTAATCACTGGTATCTCTCAGATATCACCGTCACGCTCTGGATATGGAATGCGTAGGTGCGCAATACTGTTCCCCAAACTCAGCTTACCAGGTATCCTTTAGAAACGAGTCCAACGTCGTGATAGTTGCAGCCTGCATACCCACCCTCAGGCCTCTCTTCTTAATCATCTTCAAGCGCCCCGGTTGGGACAATTACCGGCATCGCAAATCCTACGACCCTAGCTCTGGCAGCCGCGACAGACGGAACCGAGTTGGACGCATCTCCGCCCCAATCAGCGACTCGACGACTGCAATCGGCTACGGTGAGACCGAGGGAAGCTGGATAGAGTTGGGTCCGGCTCAGCATAGCTATCATGAAGATGGTGATATACGACAGACGCTGGAATTTGACGTCACGTCACATAAGAAAACGAGGGCTCTGGAGGAAGAAGATATCTTTTCAATGGCTGGAGGGAACGCACTGTAGTTAGACATGCAATCCAGTTACGATGACAGTTGAACTCCCATACGAAAACAACATTGGGAGATCTCGCGTGAGTTCGAACTCCGCTGCTTTCATGAGATGTTGCATACACTCAAGTTTGTCTTGTCGTATTCATCCAAATTTTGGGCGTTTGGCAGGGTGAGACTAAGTTCGTGACTCTTGCGATGGATCCGGATCCTGTTAAAAGGATTCCCCCACCCCACATATTCGTCTCTGCGCGGTATTAGGGAGGTTGAACAACATTTTTTATGATATTTTTATTGCAACTTATCTTCGGACAGTCCCCCTCCGACAGTCCCCCGTCCACACTAATGTGGCTACCGGCTATACCCGCAGCCACCCGACCGACTTAATATAGACCTTAACATAGTAAATATCTAACTAGTAGATATATTGTCGATATTTCTTCTATTTTATAATATAAATATCTAAATAAAATCTTATATCTTAACGAGTAAGAAAGATCTTATAGTATAGATTTTTAGTAATAACTTTTATTATAATTTTAGAAAGACTATAAGTTTAAATCTATAAAAATTCTATATTTTCTAATAATAATAAATTTATTATTAAGATTTATATTTTAATTTCTTATATCTATAAATTTTTTTATATATATTAATATTATATATAGTTACTAGTCGAAAAGATATAAAATATTTTATAAAATATTTTATATTAAGTAATATTATATCGTATTCGAATATAATATAAATAGAATCGAATACTATATCATTTTTCTAATATGAATTCGAGATCTTAGCGAAATATTTTACGATATAATATATCTATAATATTATACTATAAAATAATATATATATAAGATAATCTTACTAAGATTTTAATATAAGTAGCTATTCTAATTATTATTCTAATTAATTATAACTATTACTATTATCTATTATAACTATTATTATTATAACTATTATTATTATAACTATTACTATTATAACTATTACTATTATAACTATTACTATTATAATTATTTCTATTATAACTACTTCTATTATAACTATTTCTATTATAATTACTTCTATTATAGTTACTTCTATTATAACTACTTCTATTATAACTATCTCTATTATAATTACTTCTATTATAATTACTTCTATTATAATTATTACTATTATAGCTATTATTATTATAACTATTACTATTATAACTATTATATAATAATAAACTATTTTAATAATAAATAGTAATAGTTATAATAGTAATAGTTATAATAGTAATAGCTATTAGAATATTAGATATATAATATATAGAATAAACGAATTAATTCTCTAGAATCTCTTCGAGACTAGATTTTAAATATAGTATAAAATTAGATAGCTAAAAAATATAGTAACTAAAATACGCGAAGATTATATTTCGATAATAGATATAATAGTAATAGATATAATAATAATAGATATAATAATAGTAGATATAATAGTAATAGATATAGTAGTAATAGTTATAATAGATAATAGTAATAGCTATAATTAACTAGAATAATAATTAGAATAACTACTTATACTTCTAAATATAGAAATCTTAATAAGAATATTTTATATATATATTATTTTATAGTATAATATTATAAATATACTATATCGTAAAATATATCGCTAAGATCTTATATTATATTAGATATAAAATTATTTAAATCTTAATAACTTATATTATATTAGAGTATAATATAATAAATTAATATCTTATATTATATTATATCTTTTCGACTAGTATTAATATAGTTTATTCTAAAGAAACTATTTAAATTTTACTTATTTCTCGCTATTTAAACTATTACTAATATATTTCTAAATAAACTTTTAATTTTTTTTTATTTTTTTAAAAGTTAATTTAAGAGTATATATATTTAATATAAAATAGTTATATAATAAAGATATTAATATAAATTAAGTTATAAGATATTTATTTTATTAATAATAATAAGAATCTTAGTTAAGTTAATATAATCTTTAATTATAATATATTCTTTATTTAAAGCTTTATAGTTTTTATTCTCTTTCTCGCTATAGTAATTTTTTCTTAAATTTATTTTTTAACTTTAATCTTAACTTATTAGTCTTATTAAAACTTTAATTTAATTTATTTAAATAACTTTAAAATTATATCTTATCTAGCTTTAATAGTTATTAATAAAATAAGATCTAGATTATTTAATATAATAAATCTTTATTATTAATTACGTTAATTAATATATATAAAAGAATAAGATAGAGTTAAGCTATAAAATCTTAAATTTATATATATAGTTAATTATAAATTTAGAATTATTATATTCTTTAATTAAATCGACTAAGTTAGCTCGCTAGCTCTCTTAATCTCTCTTATTAAAAATTTATATATAAAATTTTTATACTCTAAAATAATTAGCTCTCTATTAATACTATTACTTTAAAATTTCATAAATTATAAAGCTTAGTTTACGCTTTCTAACGATATAAAAATTATAAAGTTTAATCTACTATTAATAAACTAAATAAATATTTAAATATAATAATTATATTAAACGCGTTCGAAATCGAATAATTCTTTTATCTATTTATATAATTATTTTTCTTCTATCTCTCTATTAATTCTATTAATTTTATTAATATAATATATTTACTCTCGATACTCTCGTATTTAATTAAATAAAAGAAGAATCTATAATAGACGAATACGAAGAATATTACGAAGAATATTACGAAGATAGTTATTAGTAATAATAATATAATAGATCTATAGAGATCTATATTAAAAGTTCTATACTAGTACTAGTATAATCTTAATTCTACTTTCGAAAAGCGACTCTATTATTAGTAACTTAGTTAAAAAAGCTAATTTCGAGAGTATCTACGCTTAATAGCTAGATACTTCTATTTAGATCTAAATATCTATTCGTAGAGACTTCGTAGAGCTTTCGTGAAGACTATTTCTAATAATATCTTCCCCTCTAGAGGGCTTATTCTCGAGCTTCGAAGATAATGTAAAAATCGCGACGTTCCGAGAACTCTTTCTCGAAAGATCCACGATTTTAAGAATAATATACTCTATGCTTCGAGGTTTATTTCCTCGAAGACTTCTAAATACTCGCTTATTTACGAGGCTTAAAATTATCTCTAAGATCTTTATCTATAAGACTATTAAGTAAAAGATCTTTAATCTTATCTTTATATCGATATAATATAGAAATAAGACTATATTTCGAGTCTATAGCCCCGTCTTAGCGTATATAAATTAAATTTAAATCTATTTTAGTCGGTTTCGAGTATTATAAAAAAACGTACTTTATCGTTAATCGTTACGCTAAAGTATTAAAAGAGTATAAACCTCTATTTAAATAGTAAGAATTCTCTAAAGTATACTAAATTCGTAATAATATTATTAAGAAATTATTATAATTTAACTTATTAGTATATATAAAAGAATAAGATAGAATTAAATTAGAAAATCTTAAATTTATATATATAGTTAATTATAAATTTAAAGTTATTACGCTCTTTAATTAGACCGACTAAGTTAGCCTACTAGCTCTCTTAAGCTTTCTTATTAAAAATTTATATATAGAAGTTTTATACTCTAAAATAATTAGCTTTCTACGAATACTATTTCTTTATAATTTCGTAAATTATAGAGCTTAATTTACGCTTTCTAACGCTATAAAAATAATAAAGTTTAGTCTACTATTAATAAATGAAATAAATATTTAAATATAATAGTTATAGTAGTTATATTAGACGCGTCTAGAATCGAATAATAATTCTTTCATCTATTTATTTATTTATATAATTATTATTCTTCTATTACTCTACTAATTCTATTAATTTCATTAATATAAATATAATCGTTCTCGATACCTCTCGCGGAAACGTTACTAAACGCTTCAGATATATATACTTCTTTTACTCGCCTCTTAAAGTCTCTATTAACGCGAATTCGCTACTACTAGTAATCGAGGCCATAAGCGAGTTTAATAGCTATCTACTACTACTTATAAACGCGTTAAAAAGCTCTTAAAAAGAGCTCGAATAAATTTATAGTTATTATTCTCCTCTATATACTACTCGATTAGTCGCTTAGTTAATACTATCTACTTTATTAGCTTAATAATCTACTTAATTAATTACTTAGCTAATTACTTAATCTAATACTCTATAAGAGAAGAAGTAAAAGAAGAAACTATAATAGATAAATGCGAAGAATACTACGAAGAATACTATAGAGAATATTACGGAGAAACTAAGCGATAATAAGATTATTATTATTAAGAATACGGCTTAGCTCTTCGAGATTTCATATTATATACTCTCTATAATTTTATATTAAATTATTACTTAGTAAGCGAAGAATACTACTATAATTTAATCTATTATTCTTACTATATTAAGAAGTAAGAGAAGAAACTATAATAGGTAAATACGAAGAATATTACGAAGAAATTAAGCGGTAATAAGACTATTATCGTTAAAAATACGACTTAGCTCTTTAAGATTTCACGTTATATACTCTCTATAATTCTATATTAAATTATTACTTAGTAAGCGAAGAATATTACTATAACTTAATCTATTATTTCTACTATATTAAAAAGTAAGAGAAGAAACTATAATAGATAAATGCGAAGAATACTACGAAGAATACTATAGAGAATATTACGGAGAAACTAAGCGATAATAAGACTATTATCGTTAAGAATACGGCTTAGCTCTTTAAGATCCCACGTTATATACTCTTTACGATTTCATATTAAATTATTACTTAATAAGCGAAGAATATTACTATAACTTAATTTATTATTCTTATTATATTAATATAATATATTACTATAACCTCTATAGAAGAAATATCGAACGATATATATTTAAATAAATTAAAACCGTTCGATGTCTATAGCTATTTTATTATTCGAAAAATTTCTCTATAATTATAAGGGCGTAATCGCTTTAATAGTCTATAGCGGGGGTATAGTAGACTCTTATAGAGCTAAATAG